TGCCATATTGGTCACTCACATTTGGTACATTGTCACGGCAATAATTTTGAGGGTTCCTCCAGTCTCTATAAGTCCAGTCAGTCTAGTCTCTTTAATGAGTTTGAGTTTTATTTTAGGTCCTTCTTCCATTCTAACAGGGACCTTCTGTTGTCCCTGGTCAGAGCAGGTTAGTAGTGAGAGCTGGGCACCATCTAAGTTCTTCTGGTCTCAGGTGAGCTGAGGCTGTCACTTGTGTGGCCCAATTAGTCCTGTGGGCTAATTACTTCTCTCAGTATTTGGTTTCCTCTACTCTTCTTTGTTCCAGGCAGGAAGAAACCAAAAGTTGTGTCTTATATGGTTGCTTGCAGTAATCTTTCAAGTTGCTGTTGTCAGTTTGATCCTCTCCAGATGGATCTGCCTGGCCTTTTTTCTTTATTGTGAGTTGTTGGTGTTTTATTGATTCATGGGAGCTCTTTACATATTAGTGAACTTAACCCTTTGTATGTGTTATGCATTGTAAAGCATTCACCCACATGGTTGTTTGTGTTTTAAAATTGTTCATAATTTTTTTATGTATATTTTTAAAAATATGTTATCAAATATATTTACCTCCTCTGGTTGGCATCTTAATTTGAGACTCCGTGGATTCATAGCCCATCTGGGATGGCCATTTTATCAGAATGGACTGTGATTGTTGGGATATTAATGCATGTTTGGATCTTTGGTGATACTTTAAATAGAAAAGAAAAGAAAACTCAACTTGAGTCAATTCTGACCCACAGCGCCCCTAGAGGACAGAGTGGAACTGGCCCACAGGGTCTCCAAGGCTGTCAGTCTTCACGGAAGCAAAGCCCAAACCACACCCACTGCCTGGAGTCCATTCCGACTCACAGCGCCCCTAGAGGACAGAGTGGAACTGCCCCTTAGGGTTCTGTAATCTTTACAGGAACAGACTGCCACATCTTTCTCCTGCAGAGCAGCTAGCTGGTGGGCTTGAACCAGCAACCTTTCAGTTAGCACCTAAGCAGTTAACCACTGTTCCACCAGGGCCTTGGAGGTACTTAACCAAGGCAGCATTCCATGGTGAAGACTTGGGTCTTCAGTTGTCCCTGTTGTTATTTGGTGCCTTTGGGTCTATTCTGAGTCATAGTGACCTCGCAGGACAGAGCAGAACTGCCTCATAGGGTTTCCTAGGCCGTTATCTGCACACAGTAGGTCTCCAGATATTTCTCCCACAGAGCTGCCAATATTTCAGTTAGCAGCCAAGGGCTTACCCACTGTTATTCCTACCTAGGTCCAAATCCTTGCTACTCCTCTTCATAGTTAAGGAAACATGGACTAGTCCCAAGAATGTCTCCAAACCCTTAATTTTCTCATCTCTAACAGGGAGAGAGAGGGACCGAGTAGCTGAACCTGTGGGCTCAGGACCATAGTTGCAGGGGACATCAAGCTCAATTGGCATAGCATACTACACAAAACGTTGTTCCACCTCCTACTTTGGAGGTAGCGACTGGGATCTTAAAAGCTTGCAAGCAGCCATCTAGATGCAACCATGGGTCTCTCCTCGTCCAGAGCAAAGAAGAATGAAAAAGACCAAAGACACATGGAAACAATTAGTCCAAGAGACTGATACACCATGCGATCCTCAGCCTATGCGACTATGAGACCAGAAGAACTAGATGGTGCCCGGCTACCACTGTCAACCACTCGGAGAGGGATCTATGTAGGAGATCCTGGATAGGGACGGAGAACAA